AGGCACAGTACAGTGGGGAGTGCCCGGTGTAGCCTCCAGGTGCTTAAAAGTTGGACAGCCCAGCACCATACTATAGTACTAGCTGTAATAACTTCTAGCCCAGTTGAGAAGCATGAATGAAAAGTGTTGCTAAACATCAAACGATTGCAGTATGCGAGAAGCTGGGATTAATCTGTGAACTCTAACACCTCTATTCTAGAGACAGGCTGGATGCCTCTCACAGGAGATTCACTCCATCTGCCAGAAAGGAACCCGATTTCTAGGGTTTAAAAAAAGAAAAAGAAAATCAGCAGTGAAGCAGAATCAGAAATGAAACTGTCTGAACAACCTTCTAGCTGAAAATATGGAACCAAGGTGATGGCTAACCAGGAGCAGCAGTAGAAAAGATAAAGAAAGATCTCTCTTCATTAGGCTGTCTAAGGAATTGTCCAAAGAATTACATGGATGCAAAACCCAACTATTCTGTTTACCAAAAAATAAACTACACCATGAAGACATTACCAAAAGCTGCACAGGAAGTAGAACTACATGGAAGTCATCCAACATGTCACTGTGGCTATTCCCTTAGGTGACAACCCCGGGGGGATGGGACTGACAATTGGAGAAGAACTATGAAATGCCCATAAGAGCCACTTTATCACCTACTTCTCGATGAAACTGACAAGACTGTACATTCCTTGCAAGTCAATTTCACTCCACAGCAGATGGTGCATGTCTGCCGCAGGAGGTGCCTTCATATCACTTGTTAGTGAGTCTGACTGCAGTTTACATGCGTGCAATAAACACCCATCCCATAGCCAAACCTGCCAAAACTAGAGGAACACAAAGTGTAAACTTAGCTTGTCACCTCTGAGACTAAAAGAGCCCAAATCTTAGGATTTCCCGGTACATTAAAAATGTTGCATCGGATATGCTCTAAGACAGTAATACTGTTGCAAGGTGGGCTGTTATTGTTTCAAGTCCCAGAACAAATCTTTTAGAGAGAAATAATAAGAGGACACTGGGTAGTTAAAAGCCATGCTTCCATGCTACTTTAACTAAATGATAACTCTCGGCTAAACCCCAGCATTTTATCTCTTTACAGTATGCTTCCCCCCTCTCTCTATAGGCCTCACAGACATACAACATCCATCTCGCCAACAGATAATTATCCAGAACTAAATCTCCACACTTTCTAAAAAACTGAGAGCAGCCTTCCTGCAAGAAGACCTCACAGAAATACTGTTGGATAACTGAGTTGTACTACAAATAGGAAAATGAGAAACTCAAGAAAAGGGAACAAATCAAACTGCTTTATCTGTGAATCAAATCGTGAAAGATACCTGTGTCAAGATAACCAAGTTAAAGCATAAAACAAATATGCAACAAATGCAGGATACCACAGCTAAGTGGAAATCTCAATTAGGCTAGAGAAAGAGCACTATGATAGACAGGTAACTTACAGATAAAATAAATATATAACTATAACCAAAATATTGCAAGTACATTCCCAGGAGAAGAAAAAAAAAAGACAAATTCAGACAAATATTTGGACAATTTCCTCTCAAATCAGACTCCTCAATGCAATTTGTGGTACAATAATTCAACAAGTTACCAAAAGAAAATTAGGTAACTAGAGAAAAGCATAAAACTTCCTTTAGCAAAACCCTTACATCAGTTATAACTGTCAGAGCAGAAGTAAGTGTATTGATTTGTATTAACACCCACTAAGAGGGCAACTGTGCTCCTTATACTTAATAAAATCAAGCTCCAGGAATACACTCTATTTTAATGACCTTTTTATAACTGAATTCTCCAATACTAACTGTTAAGAATAATCCTCTGGTAAAGTGTTAAATTGACCCAAGGGATAGG